TTTCAAAACAATTTATTTTCCAAGTCACTTCATCCACTTTCGAGGTAATTTTGATTTGGTGTGCCCTGCGCATCTCCACCCCTCCCGCTCCGCTGCTTAGGGAGCCCGCTCAGGGCGGGCCACCGGCTTCACACAGCTGCCTTGCGGGTCGGCCTACCCAGCGCGCAGCAGGCGCTTTTAGTAGCGCTGCTCCAAAATATGCTGGTCACCGTGTGATTGTGTATTCGCCAATGGTTTTTGGGACCCCTCTTTTTCCAGTCTCGTAGTTGACCCCCGTCCAATTCAAATTTCGTTAAAAATGCAAAGATAAGGAAGACTTTGGCCATCATTTAAAGAAAGATAATAGTTCAGATAGTTCCACCAACAGGCCATTTCGTCCTCTGAATATTGAGATTTTTATTTTTTTTTCTTGACCGCCAGGGTTGATGAAACTTAATTATGCCCTTTATTTCTTTGACTGAGGTTCGCCCAAGTGGTAGGGAAATAATTCCCAATGTGTTGTGAACCCATCAATCACTTTCACCAATTTTCATCATGATATAAATTTAAGAATGGGGTTAAATAATATTGCACCATAGCTTAAAATTTTATCTTAACTTGTATTAAAAAAAAATATTTTCTATTGGTATTTTAACATAATTATAGCAACAATACTTTTAACATATCACAGATATCTGCTTGCAATTTATGTGTTTCTGTACACAGCAGGCATTCTACAATCACAGATTTATTAAGAAATGAGTCCACATCCTAATTGTAGTTGCACATAAATTAAAACATTTATATAAAATAAAAACAGAACTCCATTGTGGAACTCGGTACACAATATGTGTAACATGTATGTATAACAATACACAGTACTGTTTAGCAATTTTATAATAAGAGTCATTTCCATTTTTAATGGAAACAATGCTCAACTTTGGGAGTAATGAACACAAATTGTTTAAGAAAGTTATTACATGGCAAGTCGGTAAGAATAAAATTGAACAGTCTTCATAACAAAACAGTAAACCCCAGGTTTAGACATTTAGTTGATTACAGACAGAATTTAAGTTGTATCATGTCACTAATTTTGACAAATAATAAAATAAGCGGTCTTCCTCTTGACAGAGTCAAGGACTAGATGAAAGAAACCACATAAGTTAATGCATGATAGGCTAGGCAAGTAATTTTCAAAAAGGTACAGCTTCTAGAATCACAATAATTTGTTATATCTTTATGGTAATAAATAACAATTTAATTGTAATTTTTCTTTTTGTCTCCCTCAGGTTTTGCAACAGTTGTGTAGGCAGATCTGGAGCTCTTATTTTCACTACTGTTCTTCAGACCATAGAAGAAGTAAATACTCAGTCCTGAAGAGAGTAAAGAAAAGACTAATGAAACACTGAAGCTACAGTGTACAACAGTACCAGTACAAAATTTACAAAGTAGTAGTTAAACACATTCACCAATTCTCCCTTTAACATGCAATTTTACACTACCCATAACCATGTTATAACCATTGCCATGCCAACATATGGAAAGTACCCAACCAGCTAAGGAGACGTTTGCTGATTTTGGCTACGTAGTTTTAATGTCCCTAACACATTCAGCATGCGTTTCCTTGTCTCATCCATTTCTTCAGAATGTGGGGATTGCAGATTAATGTTGGAATCTGCATTTTGAATGGGATCTGTACTTTGACTCTTAAGTTTTAATGTTCCTAATACACTACGCATACGCCTCCTAGTTTCTTCAACTTCTTCTGAATGCAAAATTTCAGTGGAATGGTTCTCTGCAACTTCATTACCAGAAACATCACTACTTGACCCATCACCATGCAAGGGTTGACTGAATTCCTTTGGACTTGATTTTGAAATAGGAGAGCCAACAACACCGCAGCTAATATTACTAGATAGAATCATTTCCAACTTTGCTTTAATGTCTCCAATGGGAGTGCTGTCATCTTCATTAGAGGAGTTATCAGAATTATCAGCAGACTTAACTGGACTGACTTCATCCGGTTGTTCAAATTCTATTTCTTTAAGGGACTTAGTACTTTCCAGTTTTGATAGAACATTGGGTGCAATAGAAGTTGACTGTCGTTCTGGTGATGAAGCTATAGAAGTCATGGACATTGTTTTAAGGAGTGGAGGGTGAGATCTCGACTTAATTTTTACTGTTTGCGCCCCGATAATTTTTTCAAGAGATTTAACAAAGTTTGGATTTTTTAAGGGATATGTTGCCTCACATTCTACACCAGAGCTTTCTTTTCGTTTAATAACAGGAATGCTTTCTGATTCACACAGGCCAAATTTCACGGATGTTTTTTCAGTAGGTTCGCTCTCTGTTTCACCTATGTCAATAAGGAATGAATTAGTAGGATCTTGACAAGAGCGTTGAGATGGATTAGTATCAAACGTTCCATCATTTGCACGTGAAATATTTGTTTTATGAATAGGATCTGGGGCAATACTGTCCTTTAGCACATCACTGTTTGTAATACTACTTTTTCGTGATTGAATGTCTTCTTCAGAAGATGATATAACAACAACATCTGGATATAAACTTCTAACATCCTCATCATGATCTTCAAAATTGGACTTTTGATCATTGCATAGCTCAGATACGACATTATGAGTTTCTAAAGATATACCAGGACTGGATACAAGTGCTGCCTCAATTGATTGCATGCTATAATCCAAACCCTTAGCTTCATTACTTTGACTTAAGTCACCTTGAATCTTAATTTCATTCTGTTCTATAATTGACAGCAAATCATTTGCAACTTCAGTAATTGAGGTATCACCATCAGAATCAGAAAAGAAGTCTGCATGATCTAGACTGACATCATCCAACTTTGAACTTTCAAGGCAGTCACTCACAGGTGAATCATTAGAGCATACATTAATGCCACTATTTGTATTGATAGCTATTTCTACTGGTTGCACAACTGAAAAATTAATGTCTTCACTACTGCTATCTGTTGGGATTGGTGTGGCACACTGAACTTTCACCTCAATGGAACATTTTTCAACCATTAACGATTCTGTACTCTGTGCCATTTCCTTCCCAAAACATAAATTTTCTATACCTCCATTTCCCTTAACAGTTCCGTTCAATGGAGACACTTTGTTAATTTCGAGTACTGATGGCATTCCTAAGGTGAGAGGTGCCTGAGGCCGTGCAAAGGAGGCTGGAGGTGAACCACAGCAGTTCAAGAAGGAGCGGCATGCAAGTGAAATGAAGTAGAGTATCACAGGTGCAATGAAGAAAAGTCCCACAGGTACACCTGACCAATTCAAAAAGCAATAAGATTAACAGGCAAAAATTAACCAAATACCCAGTAGTAGCTATAATTTATAGAGGCAGAGGAATTTCTTTTGTGAGACATCAGAATTACAGTGCAATTTTTAAGGATCAATCAGCTAAATGTACATGCATTTCAAAATTCAAAGAAAAAAAAAGCAAGAGAAGTACCAGGAAGTACTGGAAAAAACCAAACCCCCAAAAAACCAAAATATGTGGTCTACATAGAAATAGGTACTGGAACTTACCAATTGCCATCCAGATACCGAATCTGATACAGGTCTGAGCATCTGACATCAGAATGAGGTAAATGTTCAGAAGAATACTAAGAGCAGGTATGACTGGAACAAAAGGAACCTGCCAAAGAGAAAAATAGTGGATCATTAACACAGCTTTATTTTATTTTAGAGGGAACTTTGTAAGACAGCAGAACATTGGATAATACCTTGAAAGGAAGTTCCATGTTAGAACTGGGCTGAAGAGCCATTGACAGTACAACAATCAGGAGGAGCGAACTTAGCACACAAACTAGAGACAGTGGGAGCCATTCCCCATACATCAGCCCATATTCCATGTGCACCAAACATAGTCCTAGGGCAACAGAGAGTCCACCTACAGAAAAAATAAAGAGAAAATTATTTTATATGAAAAACCGTCTTATTTTAAAACACATGAGTTGCATGTACATACAGTAAAGAACAACCAAAATGCTGACAAGTCGACTACTGACTGCAGTTGGACTTTTTAGGCCTTGAGAATTGAACACTTGAGCAAAGAGTTTTGAAATAGTGGGCCTCTCTTTAAGAGAAACCAGATTTGTAGTTTCCTTGTAGTCAGTTACAGCGATTTCATCAGACTCATAGCACCTGTATCTGAAAATAAGTTTTAAAAATACATATTAATGCATGAGGACATATATAATGCATACCTGCTGTAGGGTAGTTATTTAAGAAAACAAGCAAAATCAAACTTTTAAAAACAAACACTTTTTTGTATTCCACTAACAAATTAAGACAAGCTCAAAAGTCGGTACTGTCGTACTGTACACTCCAAACTACAAGCACAAAGTATTTGTTCGTATTATGCCACTCCACACAACAAGCAACAAAGTTTCAAGTTACTAAGCAAACCCAAAAAAGCAAAGCAAATACTGCGCATCACCAGAAAAACTAGCAAATGACATGATGCAGTGCTTACATGTCATCTGAATCATTCAGAAGAGAAACTGCTTCTTCGGGTTTATCATCAGTTTCAGAAACTGAGTATTTGTACCTAAGATATTTCAAAATTATATGCATGAGACTGTTCTACATGTCATTGGATCCCCCATTTACTTAAATTTAGAATCAAAATTAAAAGTAAGCTAACAGAACAGGAAGCTTTTCCGCAGCACTTACACATATGGACATAGAACATAGATTTCACTGATATGACATCACATTCACAGAAGCTATATTGATTTTTGTCATAGAACAGTTCCATCTAAAGAGACGAAAGGAGAATTATATACATACCTTAAGAGAAGGACACATGCAGCAACAATTGTGTAGGCAACAAGAGTGCCAAAAGACAACATTGCCACTAGTTGCTGCAGTTTAAATAATGCTGCCATGATACCTAAGGAAATAATTTTAGAATTATTAATTTAATACATCCTTTGCAAAATATAGAAATGTTAAGCATAATTAGGATGTTAAAAAATGAATACCTGTTATTAAGCCCGCCAAAAGAGTTCCAACAAGAGGAGTCTTGTACTTTGGATGAACTTCTCCCAAAAATTTGAAAATAAGACCGTCATTTGCCATGGCATATATGACTCGAGGAAGTGGATACATTGCTCCAAACAAACTGAAAGCAGAATACTTTAATTGTAGAACAGTTTAGAATAATTAAATAACCAGCCAAAATTGTATTACCTTGCAAATAAACCAAAAATTCCTCCAATGGCAACAGTCCACTGAGCAAATGGCCACCCAATTTCTTGGAACACAAAAGGAAGAGGAGCATCTGGGTCCTAAAAATAGGATATTAAAAAATTTTAATCTCCTGAATTTAGAAAATATTTCTCTAACTAAACAAATTAACACTCAACCTGAAGATAGTATGGCCACATGAGCGTGAGCACTGCAGAAACACCAAAGTAGGCTAAGAATATAATGATAAGGGAGACTATAATTGAAATCGGAATAGCTCTCTTTGGATTCTTCACTTCTTCTCCTAGAGATAAAAATAAGAAAACATCAATATATTGCATGTGTTTAAACTACAAAAAGACCAATGAGTGATATACAAACCTGTGGTAGCAATACAGTCAAAGCCAATAAAACCATAAAAGCATGTAGCAGCTCCTCGTAAAACTCCCATAACTCCAAACGGTAAAAACCCTCCTTTCCCTAGTTTGTGATCTGCCACTACATCGGGGGCAACTTTTGCTGGATCTATTTGCCAGTTTGCTATGTCCGCTGGAGGAACAGGTAATAAGTGTGCGGGTGAAATTTTGTTGTAGATAATTGTAAATGTATTACAGCCAAAGTAAACTTACCATTGAATGCTCCAGCAACTATCACAAACAAAACCACAGCCATATTAACGGCTGTGAATAGATTATTTAGAGACATTGACTCCTTCACACCGAAAGCTAGAACAACTGCAAGAAGAATATATAAACATTAATAAATATGGTCATGCAAGATTTGTGACTATTCCCGAACTGGCAAAAAACAGCCAGCTTGTTAGCTCCTTACCCGACAAGAGGAACGATATTATAAATGAGAAAAAGTCAATATAGGGAGAGAGGAATGAAACGTGAAGGTGTACAACACTTTGGAAGCTCGTCTGCATCACGTTGCCGAACAATTGATCCAGATAGTTGCTGAGGCCGCGAGCAACACTCGCACAACCTGCAACAAAAACAAAAAAATAAAAGCATATGGTCAAAGTAATCACAATTTACCATTCTCAAAAAACTATGCATGCATAAATTAATACTTTCTTGTAATTAAAAGAATGCAAGAACTGCGTCCTGTAGCGCCTAAAACTACACCATCCCGCCAGCTATCATACTGCAGTGTTAGTTGGGCTGCCTACATCCACGGCGTTCGCCGCGCCGGGTCGCCGCGGGTTTAGCCGCGGGCTCGCCCTCGCCACACTCGACGGAGGCGCCCTCCTCTCTCGCAAGTAAACACAAGGCAGCTTACCAATCACGTACTCCATGATGAGGTTCCAGCCAATGATGAACGCCATGAACTCCCCAATGCTGACATAGCTGTAGATGTAGGCGGAGCCGGCCAGAGGGACGCGGGAGCCGAACTCAGCGTAGCACAGACCTGTGCAACAAGAATACAGAACCGTTTGAGGACATCAGCACCCACGGCCAGGCCGCACACAGATAAGACTCTGCCGTCAAAACACTGGATGACGCCTGACGCCAGCATCCACCTGACGCCAATACCACCACGTGCGCGGAAATCCACCAGAAACTGTTTTGACGATCCCGCGCCGATACGCATCCCACCAAATATTGACGCAGTTTCGTGATGATAAAAGAAAAGGTTCTGAGATTTCTCAGGTAGAGTACGCATTTCGCCACTATAGTGCGCGCTCAATGGGCGCGGGGGCGTGCAAGGGTGGTCGGGGTGGGTGGGTCGAAGACAGGCCCACCCCAACACTACTAACGCTGCAGCCGGAGGGGAGCTAGCGACCCTTATGTAACGGGCCAGGGCCAGGCATTCCCTGACGGGACGTGGCAGCGCGACGGGGTCAGGAAACGAACGATAAAGGCCAAAAAAGACCACACGGTAAATACGACGTACGCAAGCAAAAAGTGGGCGAACACACGGAAAATAGTGTGCGTGTGGAGGTGTGTGTGTGTGTGGGGGGGGGATTATTGCGCAGCAGCTACGTTCACTTACCCGCGAAGATGGACGCGATGGCGGCCACGGCGAAGGAGATGACCACGGCGGGGCCGGCAGCCTCCCTGGCCACCGACCCAGCCAGTACATAGACGCCCACGCCCAGGGTCGAGCCGACGCCCAAGGCCGTCAGGTCGTACGTGTTGAGGACGCGGGCCAGCGGGGCCCCCGACGACGACGGGGCCGACGACGAGGACGAGGCTGTCTCGGCCGACGTGGACGGCGTCGGCGAGGACGGCGCCAAGTCCACCACCTTCCGGCGGGTCATCGCCCGCCACAAGCCAGCCAAGGCCATGATCAGCTGCTACGCTCTGCAGAGAGGGACAGAGAAAGACGGTATCAGTCAGATGAAAGCGACAATACGCAGAGGTGCAGTCATCATCGGGTCCCTCGTGGACCTCGACGGATCTCACGACGACCCTTATCAGGGCATAGTGCCGCGCCAGACTGACGAGCTGAACGTCACAAGTTATCGGGGCGCCAATAACACAAGCAGGTCAGTAGCGCGACCGACCCACGGGCCATGGGACCCAGCCTTGGAGGGTCAAATCGCGTGCCCAAGCACTCATACATTCACACATTCATGCACCGCACATGGTCAGCGCGCACTGGCCGCCCGCGCGTGTAAGTGCCCCTCGCCCCCCCCCCCTCTCCCGCCCTTAGACACCACTCGCTGATCTGCCGCCCCACAGGCCAATGACACAACATGCGTATCGAGTGTGGACTACGGCACACGTGGTGCACGAGCTATCTCCCCCCGCGGGGGTCACGGCTATTGTACCGTGTTGAAACCTAGGCGAAGAGTGCGTTCAGCTGAAGGTGCCCCCAACCACACTGAACGCGATCACAGCATGTCCGCGTTCGGTGTGCTCTCCCGGACAGATGTCCACCTTCATCAACTTTCAGCCAGCAAAAAGTCCAGAGTGGCGGACACCTGCTCGGGTGGGCGGACAGTGGCGGACACGGACACACCGAATCCGTTCAGGGTGGGGCACCTTGGCAAACACAATTATTTTTCTCTGGTCAAAAGGTGCAAGCGCCTTTTACTTTCTTTGAAGTGCACCTAGATCCGTTTCTCTTTTAGGTCTTTGATGACGCCGACCAATGTGGCCGCCGAGACCGTCATCAGCATCGAACCCCCATTTGCCACCACACACTAACGCATTGCGTCCTTACTCTCGGGCCATTAGAGTAATCCGTCCTCACATTGTAGCTGATCTGGCTGTCGGGATGACCTAATCTAGAGAGATAGAGAACCATAAAGAAGTTAAAACAGAAACTTCCCTATTGTCGAGGCAGCAGGTTATTGCCTCCGTCTCAAATGGGGAGGGGACGGTGGTAGAGAATGTACTTAGCGAGACTGGCGTTCGAAACCGCCTCATAAGTCGTCACCCACACCAACCACACACACTACTCGGTTCGATCCTACAAATGCTATGCGACCTTGGGAAGCTGGAGTCGAGCCGCACGCAGCAGGCTGCACAAGGCGTGGCTGGCTCTCTGGACAGCGGCAGCGGCCGGCCTCTGACAGACATGCAGCCGCGGCGGCGGTAAGGGTCCGGGGACCCCGGGGCCGACAGGCTTATCACGGCGCAGCACCCGCGGCCCGGGCCGGGCACTTCAAGCACCGGCCCGGGGCAAACAAAAACAAGAGAAGGGAAAGGAAAGGGGTCAGCAGAGCAGAAAGGAAAAGCCCTGCCTAGCCTATCGCGCAAACAAATGCCGATACCGTGTCACGAGACGAGCAAAACGGACGTGCCGCGCTGCTGGGGGATTTAGATCCGCCGACGATATTCCGCCTAGTGTGGTAATAAAAACGTAACGCGATTAACAGTCCAAACGGCGCGACGCCCAACTACTCCTCATCCTCCTCACTCCCCAGCTAGCCGAAATGCATGATGACCGAGAAGGCTGCTACACTACAGCTGCTGCGGCGGCCTTCGAGTCACGTGATCAACACTGTCAGAAACACTCTGCCGCTGACACGGTTAGCGGACGGTAAGATTCCGGAGTGGAGCAAATAAGAAAGAACCAAAGGGAGGTGGAGGAGCGGCCCAAATTATTTAGCAATCGGACGACAGTTGTGAACTAGTGACAGGCATTGATATGCCTATATAGGCACAAAAAGAGGCCGCGTAAAAACTTATGCACGTTTCAAAGTGAAGTGTTCTTTAAGTCTGGTCAATTTCCCAATCAAGTCATTTGTCAAGTCAGACCCAGTAATTACCCAATCAACCTATAATTTTTGACTTCTAGTCAGTGTACACCCATTCTCTTAAGGATCGTCCATGAATTACGGTCGTTTTTAGCAGAGTCATTCGGCAAATTACAGGAGCTAGGCGCCTGCAAGACTCGGGGTAGGCCATCCCGCAGTACACGTATGCGGTGAATGCAAGATGTTGCCTACCTACCAGGCGCTATGAGAGCTTGCATAGGCTGAAACCTGGCAGAGGTTCATAACGACAAATGACGCAGACGTACTTTCTGGTCGATTCCTTATCGCGGTGCCGTACCACCCAGACGCACGAAAATGGCACGAATAGCAAGGTTTTCGGTTCAGAGAATATCGTTCCGCTTAACGTTATGAGGCAAATGCTACGACAAGCACACGTTCGACGGCTGCAAACGGTGCCGGTACAGTAATTAACAAAGCTTCAACCATAATTCGGGATGTTCCAAAACAAAGGGAAGGGAAGTCTCCCTCGGGCGCTCGGCTCGGCTCGGGGTCCTTGTCCGGGCCAGCGGACTAGCGCGGCCAACTGTCTCCGAAACGCGGTCTGTAAATCCTCGTGGCCGAAGGAAAGGAGAGAGAGACGACCACGTAACACTCTGCGTCTCTCAACAGGCACTCGTCCTGGGCCGCGCAGGCACCCAGGAGGAGGCAGCCCCGCCCCGCCGCAGGTCAGCCAGTCAAG